CCCTGGTATCACACTCCATGATACTGTAGGTGTAAGAAGGAAAAAAGGAACTAGCAGGTTCAAAAGGAAGGGAGACAGGCACATGCCCAACCACATCAGCTCTGTGTGCTGGAAACAAGCAGTGCATCCCCGTCAGGTCCTTGTCCATCCTTCAGCTATTCTTGACCTGCCCAGGACTGTAACTACTGAGAGATCAGCAAAGGCACTAGAGATAAGAGACTTCTGACATTTGTGCTGAGCCTTCAAAAGGTGGCTCCTTTCCCTCTTTATTCCCAGTTACCTCGTGGTTTCTTAAAGAATCAAGAAACCATATATCCTACAGGTGAACAATATTTCTCATTTCCCTTCTCAGTTTGTTGTTGTTGTTGTTTTTGTTTGTTTGTTTTGTTTTGTTTTGACAGGTTTCAAAATTCCTCAAAGTTCAGTGAGAAGAAACTTACAGGCCAAACCTAATCTGAAGGCCAGAACATCCGTCATTTGTTGTTGTCATTTTTACACCAATTTCTTGCCTGAAACATGTCAATTTAAAAATTCAGCTGATCTAAAAAAAAAGTACAACACTTTGTCTAAATTGAAGATATTGTTTTCAATGACGCTATTAAGAGGATTATGCTTTCAGTCTTTAAGTGGTTTATAGAGAACATATGAGTATCTAGGCAAATAAAAGTGTATGTTTTATGAGTAAGTACTATAATTATCTGCTTGTTACTTGGAAATAAAAACAAACAACATTAGCATAATAAAACTGTTTACACATCCTAATGAAAATGTGTCATTATCTTCTCCTGACTTTTACAAAGCAGTCAGCGTACATCATCAGTCCAATACTGAATTTTACCCCAGGTGTTAGATGAATTTTTATTTTTATTTTAGGCGATGCATATTAGTGTTTGGACTCACTGAAAGAGTCCTTGAGCATGGTTAATGGTATCATAGAGAGGTCAAAATTAATAAGATCTACTAGAAAGAAGCAGTGCAGAACTGATGGCTCTCTGGATTCTGAGAAGAGTTTTACAAATCATTTCTATCTTGAAGCTGAAGGATTAGCCTGACGTAAATTTCCCAAGCTACATCTGTCATAAGAAGACTAAAAAAGAAACCAGCCCACTGAGCAAGAACTGGCACTTTAGGAAATGGCTTAAATAGCACAGAGCTCTCAACTAACACATCTACACTCATTGCATATTTGAGTAGACTCAAATCAAGAGCACACTGCTTGTCACCTTTACACCTGACTTAAGTGCTGAAAGAAAATAAAAAGGTATTGAGCATTCCAGCTGTCATTGCTACAGACAGTAAAAGCACAGGCATGCCCAGCCAGCGCTCACTCTTTCAGCTTGTGTTGCCAAGACAAGCGGGAGGTCCCAAGCACATGGCAAGTGCTGCCTCTATGGGAGTCTCATCCTCTCTTCCTGGAATCTCCTACATTGGATTTCCACATACTTCTGAGAGCAACAGCAACCTCATCAACACTACATAGAACATTCTACTGTTTATCTGCCTTACACTTCTGATGCAAACACATCTACCCTCTCAAAGAATTACTTTACCTATGCCCAAAGGTGACTTCGTAGTCCTTTCATAAATATTAGTATTAGATTGGAATGGAGCATGTTTTGTTACATGGCAAGCTGCACCTGTATACAGCCATTAAAAGAAAGAAAAAAAGACATCATTCAGGCCATCGTGATTTTCCAGTTGAAGAATTTACAGCAACAGAGTTAACAGATATATACATCCATTAGAAATAATCCATAGAACACAGACTGAAAACCAACAATAAATGTGTGTCCTGCTCAAAAGACTGGAAAACAACTGAAAAGAGGGAGATGAAATTCTCATCTTACAGAATGACTGCTGGATTCCTCCAACTGCTGTTATGCCTATGAAGTTACAGGCTCTTTGAACAGTAACCTCTATAAATAGACAATAAATTGTCCACCGAAGTGAACAGCACAACACAACATTTTAACTTCTTGCTAGCTGCAACATGATATAGGAAATATTTGAAATACTTGACATAAGACTACAGATATTCAAATTCAGCAAGTACCAAGTGCAGAGTATGAAACTCCTTTCCCTGAGACCCAGTTTCAGATCCCTATATTGGAGCAGTGCAAGCCAAGTGTTACAGTTCAGCAAGCAGCCTCTGCTTCTGGGCAAGGGCTCCATTTGCCAGATCCAAACCCTGCAGACCTGTGACCTGACAACCAGCTGCGGCTGTCCTGGCATGACCTGGGCCAGGCAGGCAGAGGAAGCAGCAGAATTGAGAACAGAAGTGTGGCAGTGATGTGGCACTAGAGCTGCAGGAACGTGTTACTAGGAAGCACCATCTGGAGGACTAACCTGAGAACTTCCAGGATTACCATAGTGCTCACAGGTACAACCCTATCAAATGATCCAGATCCTGACTGATGCTTCAGCACACACCTGTGCCCTATAAGCAGACACTGCATATCTGCTGCTGCAGGTCTGGTGTGCCACAGGAGCAGTGGAGGAGCAGCTGTGTCACAGCTCACAGCACCCACTGCTGATGAGGTGCTCACCAGGACAGACCAGCTACTGGCACTTGACTTTTTGAGATTTTGGACAGCAAGTATGTGGAAAGAGCAAAGTCACTTGCAAAATCCAATTGTTCTCATTTTAGAGCAACTTAAATAAAATTCAATCCAATGGATTCCCCCATGGAGTCACATTAGGGAAACCTGGATTGAAGCACTCATAGCTCCAATGGAAGAAGTTCCAATCCTACCAAAAAAAAAAAAAAAGAAGAAGAAGAAAAGAAAATGTTACCCAGAGCACCAAGATAAGGAACCTCCAGTGATGTATCTCAGAACTCCAGAAAAAGCATTAATTCCACAAGACAAGCAAACAGGAATAAATAAATGTCACACTACAGAGTGCAGCTAGAAGCATTGGACTAACAGAATACTGTGTCAAAAAATGCGACAGAAGAGGAAAATTCCGAAAACAGAAGTGAATTTTCCAGAAGTCATGGTACTTTTTCATTGATTCAAATCCATATTTTTCATAGGTCTGTGTTTGTATCCTTACAGGCAGAAATATAAAAACAAATAATGCAACAAATACATATTTCATTTATTAAGAAAAAAATACGCAGAGCATTTATGTTCAAAACGTCTTTAGACAAAACAGAAAGGAAATGGAACAGAATGCCATTAATCCTTGTGAAATCTTAACAAGAGAGTTTTACTACTGCTAAAAGCACACAAGCAGCTTTCAGCAGAAATATCGCCCTCACCACTGCTTTCAGTGAAAGACAATTTTCATCTCATGCATGACAGAGCAGCTGTCTTACGAAGCACTAAACCCAGGAAGACTGCCCAAGGAAAATCAGAACAGAACTGTGTCTGCAGCCTGAAAGATTTTGCCTTTATTAAATAATGTTAATGATGAGATTTGCTGCTGCTGAAGTCATAAGATTGACATTCTCAAAGGCTGAAGTCTCCACTTGGTAAAATAAAAGTTAAAATCAAAAAGTGCAACCTGCAATGTGACTTTTCATGCCCCAACCCACCAGTGCATCTCATTTGCCTCAGACAGTTAAGATAGCAAGAGGAAGAATAGTTAAATATCATTACATTCCATTACTAAGCATCTACTGAGGCTAATTGCAAGAGTGGCAAACCAAAATGCCATGGTGATGTCTCTGATGTCACCATCTAACACCCAGGAAATGAATGGAAACAACCAATCCATTTTGCTGACACACATTAGGAAAGAGTGAGCTCCTCGTGAACATATGACAAAATCTTCATCGTGTCCAGAGCCAAACTGAAGAAATAATTAAAAGCAAACCAAACATTACACACAACAGAAAAACAACACCAACAAAATAACCTTCAAAATCTCAACAGCATTTAAAGGTTGAAAAGACCAAACAAGCAGACAAACAAAATGGTCAACTAACTGATATTAAAACAAAGAAGAACAGCAAAACAAACAGTTGTACAGCATATTTCGCTAAAGAATGTTCATTCTCTAGAATGAAGAAGTTCATTCTGTAGAAGAAAAAAAGAAATCCACTGTAAATGACTGCATTCTGATATCTTAAACAGTAAAGCTGAGCCCAACCATGTGATTTTGTTGGATGCTACCTCAGTGCTCAACAGAATGCTGTCTGCAGTTACAGCAGCATCAGCTTCATGAAGTTTTCTGTTCCCAGATTTTATTTTATTTTTATAGTTTCCTGAAAAGGTACACAGCCATTAAAGCTACTACCTTAAGAGGCCTCCTCTTCCTGCAAAGGTGTGTTGCTTTTTCTACTGACAACAAAGAGTCCACTAAAATGAACTCTTTACAGGGAGTTTGTGTCCATGTAACTGTGTGTGCACCCAGCAACACTGCATCTAATCCAGCCCTGATGGCTGCATACTCCCATCTCATTCCTTCCCAGTCAGGGATCTTTGAATGATGCCGATGCCCTCATTCTCTGACAGCACAAATAGTGCATGCAACAATTCCCTCCTAGCTTTTTTCCCCAAACAGAAGAAAAACAGTGAAATAAACTTCTTTTTTGATGCATCCATTTAAACCTGACTGACAAGTCACAATGCATTAGAGACACAGATTCAGCTTGTATGCACATCGGTAGTTGTGACATATGGAGACGACTGAATTGAGCAAAAACGATTCTAACCCATTGACAACACAGTTCATTTTCATCATAAATAAATACGCTGTCAGAAGGTTTGTATTTAATTAGTACCAGGTGAAGTGTTCGTTGTGGTAGCCAACAACCAGATGTCCCCGCAGGTAGCCACCTGCCTGCACCTGACACACATTTCCAAAGAGAAACAAAACAACCCAAATAATATTAAAAAAAAAAAACAACCCAAAGCCAGCCAAATAGGACCACCAATACGCGATCCGGTGGTTATATAAAGCGATGCTAAAAATAAACTTCCGAGGCGCGGGGCAGGCACAGCAGCTCCCTACTGCCTTGCCCCGGGCAGCCCCGCGGCGGTCCCCCCGCTTACCACCAGCACGGGCACGCCTGCGGTCAGCGAGTAGAGGAGCACCGGGGGCACGGCGCTGCTGTCCTCCGGGCCCGGGTACGGTTTGCGGTAAGCGCCCTCGTAGCAGAAGAAGCCTTGCACGTTGACCGCGAAGGTGTCCGTGTATTCGAAATAGTAAGCCAGCATCACGGTCCCTGCCATGATCACCATCTGGAAGTAAAGCATGCTGGTGAGCGGAGAGGGCACTCGCATGTACGGGGGCTCCGGCGGCCGCGGCGGCCCCGCTCCCCGGCGGCATCCACCGCGGGCGCCGGCGGGGCGGGGAGCGCGGCGGGGCGGGGTGGGGCAGGGCAGGCGGGGGCCCGGCCCGCCGCTTCGGTACCGGCTCCAGCGAGGCGCCGGCTCGAGCAGCGGGCGGGCGGGCGGAGCGCGGCGGCGAAGGGGCGGCTTCGCTCCGCCTCACCCCGCCCCGCGCCGGCAGCACCGCGACGCCGGACCTCAGCCCTCCCGGGAGCAAAGGAGGCGAATCCAGAGCCCCGGCTGCCGCGGGAGAGGGGCTGCCCTCGCCTCAGCCGTCCGCTTGCGGGGCGGCCCGCCTGGAACGCATCGCGGCTGCCCCGGCCCCGCCCGGTAGCTGTGTGTTCCGGCGTCAAAAGCTTCAAACGGGCAATATATGCTCTCCTGTATACGGATAACTTCTAAAGGAACTCACGTTGACAGCTTTCATTTAGCAAACGGGTAGCTGCCATAGCCCAAGTAGCACCTCCAAATAGAACGTGAGTCTGTTTCAGTGTCAGAAGAAATCACACAGACTCAAAGCATTCCACTTAAAAATACCTATCTGCACATCCAAAGAATGAACAACTGCGCCCTGTGCTTGCACGGAATCACCCATGTGCAGGCTCTGGTCCACATGCTGAGCATCAACAGGCAAGAAGTTACTTCCAGACTCCCCCATCCCCACACTACACCATGCTACCACCAGCAGCAGCCTGTAAGAGACTCCTTAGCATCAAAGATTGCACTTGGCCTACTGAATCACAGCTGTTAGAAATAACAAATTGCATTGGATAACCCTGCTTTTGTAATGTGCAATCCTTCCTCTTGCATTGCACTTCGGGTTTAACTGTTTGCTTTCTTCTCCTTTCTGGAGAGATTTGTTCATCTTCAGTACTGTCAGTTCCCATGTATTTATTTTTAATTGGCCCTTGAAGAACATACTTTTCCCGTCTGGATTCCACATCCAGTCTATTTTTGTACACTCTTAACATACCCCCCAGAATAATCTGAATCATGCCATTTGCATTGCATTCATCAGTCTGCTCTGGATAGTTGCGTACCTTTGTGAATAATGCGTAGTGAGACATGAGACATCTTGTGGTGAATTTTGCCTAGCACATACTTCATTTTCCCCATTTCCTTAGTGCAGAGTCCAATATCCATTATCAAACACACATAAATCTTAATTTCTCCCTGTAGGTCGCACACAGATAGCTACATTGTGAAATTATAAGGCCCAAATCTGGGAGCAGGACTGCAGTGTGCTCAGCTCTTCAGCTGCAGCCAAGCAATGCCCCACAGGAACACTGGGAGCTCCTCATGTGCAGCTGTGACTATGGCACAGTATACTGCTGCATGACTAAGTTCCAGTATCCAGCTAATGAGATATTTCCGAGTTTTGCTATTAGGAGCCTAAATCTGTGTTGCGAATACACCTGGAGTGCCATGGGAATGAGAGGACAGAAAAAGTCCTGCTTTCTAAGCATTGCAAAGAAGCTGCTGTCAAAATCCCTGAAGGATTTTGGAAAGGATCTCTAGAGGTTACGAAGCCCAACCACCTTGACAGCACAGCTCCAGGAAGAGGCTTCTTGGGGCCACGCCATCAGCTGTTAAATATGTCAAAAGCCAGAGATTCCAGAACCACACTGGACAAACTATGCCAGTGTCCAACCCTTGACAATATTTCCATTCACTAAACCAGAACATCCTGTGTTCTGTCCCAGGCTCAGACTCAGCTCCTGTTACTGGGAACCCAAAGACAAGAATCTGACTCCATCTTCTCCACACCCTTTCAGTCTAAGCTAAATTACTAACACTTCTGGCTGTACCTATATCTATATCCTCAGTTCTCTGCCTTTTCTGCTGTTACACAAATGACAGCAAGTAGATATCGACTGCCATTAGATGAAACATAGACTCTCCTTTTTGTCATGCCTCTCAATTTCTTTAATAGTCTTTCTCCATGCTTCTCTTAACTTTACAGCAGTGATTCTATTGAGGCTCTAAGGTCTGGTTTCCAGACATTTAAACATATAGTATGCAACAGGAAGGGATAAATCTACTAGATGCAGTATTCACTTGTATTATTGGCTAAATCTAGTGCCCCGTGCTTCAAATACTACAAGTGAACTTGTCATTTGCTGATAGAATTGTAAACCAGAAAGCACAAGATTTAAATTACAGAGGAGTTTTAAAGTTACCAAATGATTTAAAATCTTCATTGATACAAGACTCTGATCACAACGAAAGAAATTAAAGAAAAAAAACCCTTTAAGTGTTGCACAACCACCACAACAATCCCAACGGCACTACTAGTACGTGTTAGACCAAGAAAGATTTCTTGTCCCATTGTTGTCCTTGGTATTTTTAATAGCACATTGATTTGTTTGCATATTGCCAAAGGATTGGTTCAGAGCACTCTGAAAAGCTTAGTTTCCTGCAGCTGATAAATTGTGTGGTTTAGTTTCTGTCTCACTTGCAGACATTAAAAAAAAAAAAATCCATGTAATTGATGGTTGCTACACTTCTTCCTATATAAGTTGATTGCTGCACTATGTTGAATACAATCTGTTACAAAACGAATTTTTAAAATGCTTAAAAATGCATAGGCAAGGCAAGTCCAAGCTCCAAACAACACTGAAAGTATTATGAAAGGCAGAAAGATAATAATAGCAAATATTTTAATAGTCACAAATTCCCATTGTTGCAAACATACTGCAAAGCATGGCATGCACATCACTGTCTTGCCTTTGTAAATATGCATTTAGCTGATCAAGTGAAACCAGAGCTATACTTTTTATTATAACAAACACGATATTCATTGGTTGCCCAGTTAAATACGTAAGCATGTATTAGATCAAACAAATAGAAGTGAAAGAACACATTAGCCTCCAGTGACTAACACAGACAACTAAATATATTCTGTAATTACAGCATTCCCTGCTGATTTATATCAGTGATATGCAGTGACAGCGGAATGGCAGAAAAAAGCCCAGAACCAATGATTTTAGTTTCAGAAGGATACTGGTAAAATTGTCTGTTGACCTTTGATGACAGACAGACTGGTTTTGAAACTGACTTTCTTGGGAATAGTTCCTCTGATCTTAGAGCAGGAGTTTCCCCTCAGAGTTGTCATAGATCCATCTTATTTTCATTTGCTACTTAATTTTAAGTGAAATATCATCTCAAGAGACACAATGTAGAACAGTGCAGACAAAAAGAAACCTTAGTTCCAATAATTTGCAATACTTTGAAATCACAACCTCCATAACTGGGACATATTTCCAATTCAAAAACAAATTCATTAATCCTTCATGTGTTCTTTATCATCATTTCTTTTTAAAAGAATTTTCTAGTTATAAATCACTGCTATGGCAAAAGGCAGTAAAGATATACACAACAAAGCTTTCCTAACGGGAAGACTTGATATCAAATCATCCAACTTTTTTTTTACTTTTCTCTTTCATGCTTTATCAGAATGATACCATTTAGCAACCCCATGGAAGTTTCCCTATTACATCTTCACATTACACTAAACCAGCCTGTTCAGAAGGGAATATTGCATCTATGTTGATGATAAAACAACAATGAAGAGAAGGAACAAACTGAATTTTTAGAGACCTCCTGGCTTATCGAGGCAAATTTGGCAAATAGAAGGAGAGAGACTTGCATAAAAACTTATCCACAAACTAACTTCAGAAGCAAAGGGTATCTTTGATGTAGGAAAAGCTTTTCAGAAACTTCATCCAATAGTTATTAAAATCCTAATGGCTGGGGCATTTACCAAGTTGGATGCCACTCTAGACAGCCTGATCTAGTGGCTGACAATCCTTTCCACAGCAGAGAGGCTGGAACTAGATTACCTTTAAGGTCTCTTCCAACTAAACACCATTCTACAATTCTGTGATACTACCAAAATTATGTTCTTAGGAGCATCACAATGAAAGAGAAAAATAATTTCCTAGCAAGTGGAGCACAGCGAAGAATCACAAGTGGAATCTAATTCCCAAAACACCCGCAATATGATTCAGACAAATTAGGCATCGAATGTAAGCTTTTCATATGGTCCTAGCATGGAGTTCACATAGAGAGACAGCTCCAGTAGGTGACTAAGCTCTACTACATTAGGGTAGGATGAATCATCCTCTCAAAGTGCCATTCATCCCATCCTGAGAAATACCAATGCCTGATGATACCACTTACAACAATAAATCAAGCTTTGATGACTAGTTTAGACTACCACCCATCTTTTAAAGGGCTGCAGTGAGACGTGATCAATTTTACTCTTAACTTTCACCTGCACATCACTAAGTTAGTTCCAAAATTGGAATTATACTTCTCCTGAATCACACGGGGAGGGAAAAAAAAGTAGTAAGATTAGTAATAGCATAAGCATTAATACTGTGTTTGCCTTGCAGTGTAATGTAGAGCTAGACCCTGTTTCCACAGAAGGCAAGATTTTGTCCCAGTAATCTTGGACACCTCATACAGTGCAGTACAAGTACATGAAAGAATGAACAGATGGAGATGAAACAAATGAGGAGGAAGACAACACAACAGTGAAATGATTGAGTTGGATATAATGAGTAGTAGCCACATTACATTAGTTGCCTAGTCAGCGTTTACATCAATAAGATAATTAGTCTTCATAAAGCTGCTTGCTATCTTCAAATTAAGGAAAAGTATTATTACTCACAAATTCTTCATAGGCTAGAACAGAACATTTGAGATGCCAGAGGCACATTACGTACCACCAGCCTGCACATCCTGAGAACTAAAGTCTGCATTAACACTTCTACTACTATACTACCATGTCAACTTAAAATAATAAAAATAATTTTAAAAAATAAAAATTAAAAAAATAAAATAAAAAACACACCAGATCATGCTTTTGTCAATGTAAAAATAAAACACTGACATCTGAATGTTCT